GGTAGGTGCCGTCGAAATCGGCGACCACGAAGTTGGCGTGGTCGGTCGGAAGTGGTCCGAGTCCCAAAGCTGCGCAGTAGCGTGATCCGCCCGAGAGGTGTGGAGCTCGTCGGGGAGAACGCCCTGTAATCGTGCCTCGTGACGGCTTCAGTCCGCCTAGGCTATTTTCAGAGCGGGCGGTGTTCTTGAACAATATATCAATGGAGCTGCCGCCGTCGATCGATACCTGTCGAATCGAACCTTGTTGATACAAGGATCGAGGACCGAGGAAAACGCCTGCTCGTGTATGGCGGCCCATTGGTCCTTCCCTGCTGAAGTAGATTTCACGGTGAGACCACGGAGGAAGCCGCGGATCGGTAAGAAGGTTGTCGTTCTTTGCCATGTTCAAGCGGTAGAAGCAGCTTGCGTTCTCGTTTGGTCTCAATGGACACCTTGCCGCCGATGATGGTGTACGCCGCGATCGGTCGGACAGCGTATTATGATGAGGATCCGCATCATCGTCGTCGTTGTCCTCGCGGCGCTGTTCCCTTACGTCATTAGGCTTGTCGGAAATATCCGGAGCTGTTGGCGGCGTGTAGATAGTCTTGAGGACGCGACAATTCTCCATGGTATGGTTCGACTTGGGATGGAGTGGTAGGGGCCCTTCAATGCTTTGGCGTAGTCATCCTCGTAGTTACGACGTCCGCCGCCCTTTTTCACCGTATTGACTCGCCGTCGTCTTCCCGAAACACGCTGCTCCTGTAATAAATCCACGGCGGTTGCGCGCCGCTGATTACGTTGATCACGGTGGTCATTTGGAGTCGTTATATTTGGTTGCGGCGGTCAAAATTGTCGTTCGACTACGGTTGCCGCGATGTAATAAATCGTGGCGTGGAGGGTGGTGGGAGCGTGGGATCCTTGCTTCTTCTTCGACGATTATCTTTTAGCGTCGTCGTCGTCCGTGTATTTCTTAGCGGTGGCCAAGAGCGCCGTGGATCGACTTTCGGTCTTTTCCGAAGGAGCTTATCTCTTAGGGCGTCGTGGAAACGGAGGCCGTGACGAAAAGCCTCGATTGCTTCGTTGTCGGAGATTGATGGGACCTTGATGCGCATCTCCAGAAACGCCGAACGATATTCGCGCAGATGGTTCGTCTTTCCGATCTCGGATCCGTTGCGATCGTACTTGTTGCCGGGTTGTTCACAAGTAGCGATGAAATTGTCGATGAAGGCCCGCTTGAGCTCTCGCCAAGAGTCAAAATAGTTTCTTAAGCAAGGTGACTAGCCATTGGTGACTGCATGACCAACGGCGGGAAGTAGTTAGACATAACGTGCTCGTCGACCATGGCTGATCGGCACGCTGTTTCGTGAGAGCATGACCCATAATTCGGGGTTTTCCTTGTCGTCGCATTGCCGAAGTTTCTCGAGCTTGAAATTCTTGGGCCATATGACTTGGCGAAGGTGTGGAGTGAAGCGCCGGACCGGAGGGCCGTGGGCGGTGTCATACTCCATACGGCGATAGCTTTCATGGGATGCACGATCGTTGGCTCTCACGGTTGATGCGAGCACGCAGATCACGTCCGCCGAGGTAATGGCGAAGATCGTTATTGCCGTCGCGGCGATCTCGATTGCCATCTGGACTAGCTCTGCGACCGTGGTTATCACGGCGATTGTCGCGGTTATCCCGGCGGTTGTCACCTCAACGTCGTGGACGGTTATCTCTCTCTCGGCGACGGTTTTTCGTCCGACCACCATCATGACCACCGTTTCGCCTTGACGATTGTCCGACGGGTCGTTGTTGCGCGAGCCACGTCGGTTGAGCGGCCGTGGAGCGACTTGAGTATTGGCGGGCGTGGCTTGATTCCACCAAACCGATGGGGCCGGGCTTGATTCATCTCTGCGGTGCGAGCCATAGTGACCCGCCGATATGCTTGTATTTCATCGCGGATCGCTTGGGTTTACGAGGTGTTGGGCAGCCATTGCATTGTCGCCATAGCAACGGCTACGTTGGCGCTTGGGGTCTTGAAGACTTGTTTGTCCCCACCCGCCGAAAGCATTGTTGAGGTCGCATGTTGGATCCTTGCGCGCCGTGCCTCTGGGTCCGCTTCAACTACCGATTTGCCGGCGATTGAACCGGTCAATCTTGCGTGCCTCGCGTGCGATCCTTTCTTGTTACATTTCGCCAATCAACTTTGGCGGCTCGTCGTTCTTGACAACATGGATCAAATCCCCTCGTCTTGGCGGGAAAGATGGAAATTGGGGGAAACCCGGGGCGTGGTCTGGTAGATCCAGATCGTATTTGACGCCTTCATCTTCGTGACGCTGAAGCTTCGGTGTGGGCGGATCGTTGGATGAGATGCTTGGGATGAGGAGCTGGAGTCACCCTCTCGGACCGGTGTGTGGACAGATCCTTCTTGATAATCTTCAATCCGGACCATGTTGACGATGTTGCATGGCGGACGAGATCGGTGTGTAGGACATAGATCCAAACGGCGTCGTAGGTTGCACGCGCGTGGTGAAGGCGGCGTTTCGCAGCCGTAGGGCTGGACTGGTGGTTCTCCATCGGGACTTCGCACTTTCATGAGTCGGAGGCCCGTCAAGGTCGGGTGGCGACGAGCGGGCGCCCCTCGAGAGTAGATACGACCACAAGATCTGTTCAAGCCGTGCGGGACGACCGCCCGAGCCTGGTCGGATAGATCTGTTGTGGGGAGCCATTACCCATCGATGGAGTCGAGTAGGTCGGTGTCGTCGATCCGCTTCCCTCCGTAGTGGGGAAGCGGATGACGGGTTGGCGTGTTGTAGGCGTGGTCGGAGCCGGATGTACCGTGGTCGGAGCCGGATCCATCGTGGTCGGGCCGTGTTCGCCGTGGTCGAGCCGTGTTCACCGTGGTCGGAGCCGTGTTCACCGTGGTCGGAGCCGTAGCCGATGCAGTGAAGTAGTCGTCGTCGGCGGGTTGAATACACGCCCTCGGTCATGGTGATGGAGACGCGTGGGCGGTGGTCCAAGTGATCGGCCGATGGTGAACGTGAGACCGCTAGGCGTAGCCATGGAGCGGAGATGATGACCATCTTGTTCGCTTGGAGAGCAAAGACGCACTCCCCTACGGGCGCGCCACCGTCGATTTAAATATGGTCGGCGGTCTACCTAGGGGTATGCCCAAGGTAGTAGATTATCGGCGCAGACAGTGCGCAAGTCCCAAACAAGATGGTGACGCAAGATGCATACGAGGTTTTATCCGAGTTCGGCCGCCAAGAAGGCGTAATACCTACGTCCTGCGTCGATTTGTATTCTTTGTATGTCAATGAGAGATGATTTTAGAGGGGTCCCCGCCGCTTATATAGTCCGGGGCGGGGTTACAGATCTGAAACTAATCCTAGTCGGTTACAATTGCCATATGTGGTCGGATAAGGATTCCTATTCTAATCGACCAGGATCCTGCTTGATCGCCAAATCCGTCTTGATTCCCTGTGCGGGACTCCGATCAGGTTAACTGGGCCGCACGTCATCTTTCGGGTGAACTGAACCTATCAATCCAGGCCAACCCAAGCTTAGCCGTAAGGGTATAGGGGTTAATACCCCCACATGGGGGGAGAAGGATTAGGGTGGGGGCTCGTGCCCCACCCGTTCCCTAGTGTTGAGGATACATACACTGTGTTGACTTGTAACTGACACACACACAGAGACCGGTCACCACGCTCACCACACGCACACATCATGCACTAAGTCGGGTCAGTTGCTAAAGATAGCAACTCCCATTGTTGTACTATATAAACATTCAACAGAGATCAATACATGTTGTTGGCTCTCTATTCTCTTCTACATGGTATCGGACTGCGAGGGCTGATCCTGCTTCGACGCTCGTCGTCGTCTCCGCTGCTCACCACTGCGCCTCGCTTTGTGCCACCTCCCTCATCTCCGTCGCCATGGATCACATGGATGACAATCCCCTCTTCGGTCTCAATCTCTCCAGTGCTCCCTCGTATGCTTCTTGTTCACCTGCTTCCTCCATCGACAGCGACGGTTCCGCACCCACCGCCACCGCCAATGCTCCTCTAGCTACCATTCTGCAAACGGTTAACATCAAATCCCATGTCCCGGTGGTTCTTGAACTCACCGATCCCAACTACAACAAGTGGTGCTATTTCTTTGATGCCTTCCTCGGCAAATTCCGCCTCGGCTCCCATGTCGCATCCCCACCCACTGCCGACCAGCATCGTGATCCAGAGTGGTAGGTCAAGGACCAGTGCATCATCAGCTGGCTTTACAATTCCATCTCCAAGGATGTTCACGACATAGTCCGCACTACGCACGCCACGGCATATCGCATCTGGCAAGCTATGGGTACTCATATGCCCGCCTGAAAAAAAGAGAGAGATGAATAAGATAGCCCCTGTTCTCTCGCAAAGATATTTCTAAGTTTCAAAAGAGAGATATGTTTTCAAGGAGCATAGTACAATTAGGTTAGCCTCCATATGTATATCCACCATATACATCCACACACATGCACATCTTGATTTGATTGTATGACTTAACTCTCTTTGGATCCGAGGTTTGACTTTACAATATATGTATTGCAAGTGTGCTCTAGCTTTCTCCCTACCTATGAACTCCACATAAGCTTTAGTGGTTGGAAGAGAAAATGCATAACATCATTATTGCCTTGGTGAGGATCCACAAATACCACATATATTGAGAGACATGAGAGTGTCATACAATGGAATCTCTGAGTTTTATTTTCAAACTTATAAAAACTCCGGAACAATGGTGGAATAAAGAACTTGAGACATAGTGCTGGACTTGATCGTTCTATCTTTCAATTGCTCAAGACCCAAGTGAAGGCTAAGAAGCCCCATGGTTGAAGGTAATATGGGTAAGTTTGAAAGTCAGATCAGTTTATTCTAATCCGGAGGCCGAGTTCCGCAACCTCGTCTAAGACGACATGGACATCTCTCAGTACATTGGCGGGCTCAAGTGCCTTGCTGATGCTCAAGTAGCCGGTTCGGGGGACTAGCCAGGTCCTGAACATGCTGTGCGGCCTCAACCTCAAGTACCGCCACACCATCCTGGCGATCACCACCAAGCAGCCGCCACACACCTTCCTCTCCGTGCGGTCATATCTTCTCCTAGAGGAACACTATGACAAGGAGCACGCCAAGACCATCGCGCAACATGCACTAGTCACCACTGGCGGCTCTTGGCCCTCCTCCTCGCCGGCCCCTAATGGTAGCTTCGATGGCAGCTCCAGTGGCCAACCCACCACTCCACGACCTGCAGCAGTTTCCACGAGCGCATCGCCGCACCGCAACGACAACCGTGGCCATGGTCATGGCCGCGGTGGCTACAACCACTCTGGCGGTTATCCTCAGTCTCTAGCTCCTTGTGCTCTCTCCGGCTGGACTCTAGGATTCAACCCCTGGACAGGCATGGTCCAAGCCTGGCTGATGTCGTTCCATGCTCCCTGCGTGGGCGTCCTTAGTCCTCATCCCGGTGCCTCACCCAACCAGGCATACTTCACCGGCTCGGCTCCACTGCCTCTAGATCTGCACAACTATGCCCCAACCCCAACTACTGCAACGCCGGACGTCTGGAACAACTAGGCCCTCCTCACCACCCTGGCCACCGCCAACATCCCGGCAAGTGGCCCCCAGACTGCAGAATGGTTCCTGGACACCGAGGCTTCCTCCCATATGGCTTCCAATCCTAGTGTTGATGGTAGTTAACGTTCATCATAAACCATCAGTATAACTTATATAAATGCATAAAAAGGATCACCACTATAGATCTAGGGGTTTAAACTAATAAATTCCACAAGTTTTGGTGAATCTATGTTTGTAGGAGGATTTACTCAGAAAACCGTCAAGGAGGGCCTATTCGTCAAAGCAAATCACGTTTATCCACAGTGAAACCAACGTGGGAAGACTCTAGAAGACTCCAGAAGGCAAACCACCAAAGCGGAGGGTAGGTGGATGCCATGTGGGGCAGGCTGGCCCCACCTGTAGGCCGCCTAGCCCCTAGGGCCCACTGTCAGCCTCCGTGTCACAATGTCGGTTCTCCACCGCCTCCTAGGATGCATCTACGCCGTCTTTTAAGTCGGTTTGATCCAAGGGCTCACGATGGATGGTTCAGCCTATATATACTAGCCCCTACCCCCTCCCTCAGGCCATCCCTGAAACCCTAATTCATATCTCTTATTCAGAGATCAAGATACACTAGGAGGATTAGGTCTAGACTCTCTAGTGTAGTAGATTAGTAGCTCAGGAGTGAGGGTCGTGTTGGGCTCATGCTCAAGTTTTGGATCTAGTCTTGGAGGCTCGGCAAAGCCTTGTATCTTCACTTCTATATCTTGTAAGACTTATTATCAATTCATTATATTCCTATTTACATGGCTATGCTTACTTTGAATATATATCTTGCTTAATTAAGATTATCATTGCTTTTCTATGCGGGTTTATAGAGCACTTAGCTTGCTATAGTTTATCGATTGGGCTAAGTAGCCGAGCCTCATGTAAGCATGGTGCTTATACAATGCTCTGCCTATGAGTACAACCTGTTCTCTAGTTGTGTGGTAGCAGCAGGAGGTGACAGCCCCATCTATCCTTTATAATCCATGCCGAATTGAACATGTTCTTAAATTATAGGACCATAGTCGCGTCAGTAGAGTTATCTATTGTGGATGCTCTACCATCTAAGTGGCGTCCCAAAGTGCACAAGAGTAGAGTTAGTCTTAACTATAGTTGGATGTATATATACTTTGACCATGTATAAGAATATCATAGGAATCTACCTCACACGTTGTTCTTCCAAGTTGACTAGTTTACATTATCTTAGTGACATATCCCCTGAGTGTCATTATGCTTTATTCCTATCATTACATTCACCCCTGCTTTAGCTATGCTGGTATGTTGATTAGTAGACATTCCTTTATTACTCAATAAGTCTTTACTCCATTGTTTCCCTATGATAAAATATAAATAACGATACCTAGAATACTCCCGGTAAAATGCTACAATAGTATTATGTGCGCTTGTGGAATCCTGCATATTCTATTTGCACTTATAAATACCAACACCTAATAACTTCGCTTCCCCTTAATCATTCTCTGATTCCTCTCCTATCACTGTTGGAAATGGCGCGCAATTGTCTATTACTCATCGCGCGTCCATGGCAATTGCCACTGCTCGCTCACCTCTTATTCTCAACAATGTTCTTGTGTCTCCTTCTTTGGTTAAGAATCTGATTTCCGTTCACTCTTTAACTCGCTACAACAACGTCAGTGTTGAATTTGACCCTTTTAGCTCTTCTATCAAGGACCTTCCCACCTGCACGCACGGAGGTCCTCCAATGTGATAGTAGCGGCGCCCTCTATCCTCTGGCATCCACCTTGCTGGAGGCTCATCTGGCTACCGCACCCATCGTTGAGCTGTGGCACCAACATTTGGGACACCCAGGTCACCGAACCCTTCAGCAGTCCCTCCTCCACCTCGAATTCACATCCGACAACAAGCACTCCCCAACCTGTGAAGCCTGTCAGCTTGGCAAGCATGTCCACCTGCCTTTTTTGTCTTCAAATTCAGTTAGCTATGTTCCTTTTCAGTTAGTGCACGCTGATGTATGGACATCTCCCGTTGTTAGTCTTTCTAGATTCAAATATTGCCTTGTGTTCATCGATGACTATACGCATTATGTCTGAAATTTTTCATTATGTGCCAAGTCTGAAGTTTTTCAACGCATTCTGCATTTACATGCTTATGTCTGCATCCAATTTTAGCTACCTCTCATTGCTCTACAAACAGACAATGGTCATGAATTCGATAACCATGCTCTATGTGATCACCACGCCCGTCATGACATTGCTTTCCGCCTTTCTTGCCCCTATACTTCCTCCCAAAATGGAAAGGCCGAGTGGATCATTCGCACTATCAATGACTGTGTTCATAGTCTGCTCATTCATGCAAGCATGTCCGCCCCGTAATGGGCTGAAGCATTATCCACGGCGACACATCTTTTGAATCGTTGTCCTTGCCAAACCAGCGACACTATCACACCATTCCAGCTACTGCTCGGGACACCTCCTTGTTACAATGATCTACACGTCTTTGGATGCCTCTGCTTCCCAAACCAAATCGCTACAGTTCCACATAAGCTGAGTCCGCAATCGATGCCCTGTGTTCTCCTTGGATATCCGGTAGGTCATCGCGAGTATCGCTGCCTTGATCTTCAATGTCGACGCGTCATTACGTCCCGTCATGTCCTGTTTGACAAATCACAGTTTCCTTTCCGTAAGATTCAGTCTGCTCCCTCACCAACAATAGCTGGACCAGCTACAGTACCTAAAGATATTGTCATTCTTTAGCAAACATCGCCTTTGCCTGCATCTGCTTCTTTGTCTCCGGCCACAAGCACACCATCCGGAACATCATCATCCCCATCATCACCACCCATCAACAATACGTCGCCACCGCATGTCGCATCGACTTCTCCATCTCCAACACAAACTGCCGCTCCGGCACCGCAACACCCAATGCTGACTCGATCCCAAGCAGGCATATTCAGGCCTAACCCCAAATATGCTCTGGCTAGCACCACCACACCAGCTCCATCGTCTTCTTCTCCTGCTATTTCACCACTACCCAGCTCCATTCGCGCTGCCCTAAAAGATTCGAATTGGTGTTAGGCCATGGCCAGCGAGTACGACGCTCTACAGCGCAATCGTACTTGGCGTCTTGTCGACAGACCACCCACCGCCAATGTTGTCTCTGGCAAGTGGGTGTTCCACCACAGACTTAATCTCGACGGCACGCTAGAATGCTACAAAGCTCGCTGGGTCGTGCACGGATTCACTCAATGCGCCGAGGTTGATTTCAGTGAGACTTTCACGCCGGTCGTCAAACCAGCAACCATTCGAACTATGCTCGCTATTGCTGCATCTCGGGGCTGGGCCACCAAACAACTTGATGTTTTAAATGCATTTCTCCATGGCCATCTCAAAGAACATGTTCTCTGTCAGTAGCCCATTGGGTTTGTTGATCCTGCACAACCCAATGCCATCTACCTGCTGGACAAGTCCCTCTATGGACTTCACCAAGCTCCACGTGCGTGGTTCACCAGATTTGCTGAGTTTGTCACCCACTCGGGTTCACTGCTACCCGCTCCAATTCCTCTCTCTTTGTCCTTTGTCGTGGCAACACCATCACTTACTTGCTCTTGTATGTCAACAACATTGTTCTCACGGGCTCGAACTCATCCCTGCTGCAAGACATTGTCGTGTCTCTTCGTGTCGAGTTCGCCGTCAAAGACATGGGTGACCTATGCTTCTTCCTCAGCATTGACGTCGAGCGATCACGTGCTGGCTTCTACGTCGAGGATATTCTCAAGCATGCCGGTATGACGAATTGCAAGCCGGTTGCCACACCAGTCGACTCCAAAGGCAAGCTCAGCGCCGACAGCGACGCTATTGATGACGCTGCCTCCTACAGAAGCCTAGAGGGAGCCTTACAGTACCTGACGGTGACAGGCCTGATCTGGCGTTCGCGGTTCAGCAACTCTGCCTCCACATGCATGATCCGTGAGCGCCGCACATGGCGCTGCTCAAGCGCATTCTACGATATGTGCGTGGGACATTGTCGCATGGTCTTCTCCTCCGTGCCTCCTCCGAGCTCGCCGTCACCGCATACTCCGACGCCGATTGGGCTGGCTGCCCCGACACCCGGCGTTCAACATCCGAATTCTGTGTATTCCTCGGAGACTCACTGGTGTCGTGGTCGTCAAAGTGGCAGCCTACGGTATCGCAATCGAGTGCCGAGGCAGAATACCGCGTTGTGGCCAACACGGCGTCCGAATGCATCTGGCTCCGTCAATTGCTCGGCGAGCTCCATTGCGGCATCTCCAAGGCGACTGTGGCATATTGTGACAATGAGTCTGCTGTCTACATGCCCTCCAATCCCATTCACCGCAAGAGGATGATGCACATAGAGCTTGACATTCACTTTGTTCGGGAACGCATCCAACTCGGCGACTTGCGCGTTCTACATGTTCCAACCGGCAAACAGTTCGCAGACGTCATGACAAAGGGACTGCCTACAACTACCTTTGAAGCTTTTCGATCTAGTCTTTGTGTAGTACCTACCACACTTCAGACTGCGGGGGTGGGGGGTGTGTGTGTTGAGGATACATACACTGTGTTGACTTGTAACTGACACACACACAGAGCGTGGTCACCACGCTCACCACACGCACACGTCGTGCACTGAGTCGGGTCAGTTGTTGAATAACAACTCCCATTGTTGTACTATATAAACATTCAACAAAGATCAATACATGTTGTTGGCTCTCTATTCTCTACTACACCTAGTGTGGAATCCGCTCTTGTGTACACGTATTTTGATGGTGTCACCTCTCCTTTTCGTCTCATTCGTGTAACTTTGTGCAATACGTAGGATTGGGTCACACCATCATATGAATGAAAATTCAGCCTAAGAGTTGTGAATGTGATAATGATGCGGTTAACTTGAAAAATGGAGGTCATGTTATGTTCCTATGATTTATATATTTTTCTCATATATTATTCTAATATATATAAAGTTGTAGCAGTTGTAAA